CTAGTGATAAATATTTAAGTACTAATAGAACATGTCAATCAAATAACGAATTAAATGGAACATGTTTACAATTATTAGCAGATGGAAGTGGATGTGGAATATGTAATAAAGGATATTATAGAAATGGGAAAGGATGTTCAGAATGTGGAGAAAAATGTGCAACATGCAATCAAAAAGATAAATGTACAACATGTGCAGATGGATATTTCATGAGTTGGATAGGAGAATGTAAATCAATAGACGAAGTTAAAGGATGTAAAGGAGAAATAGATAAAGAATATGGATGTAGAGAATGTTCAGAAGGATATTATTTAATAAATAAAGAATGTTCAAAATGTAAAGAGAATTGTACAAGATGTTCAATAAAGAATGAATGTAATAGTTGTGAAAATGAATATGTATTAACAAATAAAGAATGTATTTACTATTTAGATATTAATAAATGTAAAGAAGTAAAGAATAATAAATGTTGGAAATGTTCATTTTGGTATGGAACGAATGAAGAAGGAAATGAATGTAATAAAGAAGTAGTATGGTGGATGATAATGATAATTGTCATTATTATAATTATTATCATTATTATAACAATTGTAATGATAATAATGATGGTTAATTACATAATGAAGAGAAGAGAAAAGAAAGAACGAGAGAAAACAACAACAATATTCAAAATAACACAATCAAATATCAAATTCATACCACTTGGAGATGGAATATTAACAAGTAAGAAAGAAATTGAACTTCAAGAAGGAGAAGAAATTAAAGTGAATGAAGAAATACGAGAATTAATTTGTATTGGAAATGATAAAAAAGAAAAGATGAAGATACAAATAAGTAGTAAAGAAGAAAATGAGAAATATTCAATTAGAACAAACCCAAATGTCATTACAATTGAAGGAGGATATGCATGTGAATTTGAATTATTCATTACAATCAAATGTACAACTAAAATCAAAGATAAAATAATGATAATTAGTAAAACACTTAATAAAGCACAAGAAGAAACAATCAAAAGTATTTCTATTGAAGGAGAAACAGAAATATCAACACGACTTGATCCTGATGAAATAAAAGAAGAAAAGAAAATAGGAGAAGGATCATTTGGAGTTGTTTATGTTGGAGAATTTAGAGGAAATAAAGTAGCAATTAAGAAAATGAAACAAGTTGAAGAAAATGAAGATAAAAAGAAAGAATTTGAGAAAGAAGTAGCAATGTTAGATAAATTTCGAAATGAATATATTATTCAATTTTATGGAGCAGTATTTATTCCTAATAAAATATGTATGGTAACAGAATATGCAAAATATGGATCAATACAAGATATAATGAATAAAAGAAAAATTACAGAAATATCAAAGAAAATAAGAATCAAATTTATGATAGATGGAGCAAAAGGAATTTCATATCTTCATTCAAATGGAATATTACATCGAGATATTAAACCAGATAATTTTCTTGTTGTATTACTTGATGATAATATTGAAGTTAATTGTAAATTAACTGATTTTGGAAGTGCAAGAAACATCAATATGATGATGACAAATATGACATTCACAAAAGGAATAGGTTCACCTATTTACATGGCACCCGAAGTATTAAATCATCAACATTACAAAATGCCATCAGATATATATTCATTTTCAATAACAATGTTACAAATCATTACATGGCAAGATCCATTTCCTAAATCAGAATTTAAATTTCCATGGAAAATAGCAGAATTTATATCAACAGGTAAACGACCAAACATAATACAAGAAGTAGAAGAAGATATAAAAGAAATTATTGAAAAGTCATGGCAACAAGAACCAAAAGAAAGAATAACGATAGATGAAATTGTAAGAATGTTAGATGGAATTGAAAATAAAGAATGAAAATAAACAAGAAACAAATAAATAGAATTAATACATTTCATTTAATTCAAGTACATACTTTAATTTTATTAACATATTTTATCCATTTCATTTAATAAAAAAGAATAAAATGAACAATAAATAAAATAAAATAGAATAAATATATTCAAAATATCTATAATAATACTTAGAATAAAAATAAAAGAATAAAAAGATGATAAATAACAATAATGAATTAATACATAACTATAAACTATATTATAATGAATATATTTTGATTTATATTTTAGTTTCTTTTGATTATGTTTGTTTGTTAAAATTATTATTTGTTTTAGTAATGACAGAAGTATTAATGAAGTGATGTATTTGTTATTTTAATTCTTTTCATGGTGTTTTCATTCTTTTTATTCTATTTTCATATTTATCAGTTAATTTAACTGCTTTCTGGATTTGAAAATGGTATATTAGAAATATCACACAAAAACCTAAAATGAAATGAAATTTCTAATGTTATTAATATCATCTGGTTATGTTTTTCATTTAGTAAAAATAATATCAGGTGTAATTAATAAGATTAATGAAGTTAATCAATTGAATTAAATATTAAGATTTGTTATTATTAAATAATATTGTTTATTTTAAGTATTATTTATAAAATTGATGATAGTGTTAAATAAAGAATACCATTGATAAAACATATAGAAATGATTATCAATACTAATGTGGGTGAATATTTGTGATGTTAAACATAGAAGAAATGAGTTATAAAAATGATAATATTAAATACTCTTCTTACATTGAATGTTATTGAAAATATAATGATGATGTTTATTACTATTTTTATAATGTATTAACTTAAATGAATAAAATTTAGATTGAATAAGTTTAAAATAAAATAAATCAAAAGAGATAAACCATAAATGAATAAATTCATAAAATGATGATAGTTTTAATGATATAAATCACAATAACACATATAAATAAATTAATGGAAAAATACAAAGAATAACAAAGAAAACAACAATGTAAAAAATATGAAGATTTCAATACAATGAAGAAATGAATATAAAATGAAATATCATTAATTAAATTAATTTCTAATGAATGTTAATTAAATATTTGTTCCTTCATTTAATATATAAAATATTTCTCTTCATTTTTCATATTCTTCTCTCATTTTATTTCTATTTTATTTATTTAGTGTTAATTATTCTTTCACATTATTTCTTCATTTCTTTGTAATTTCTTTTCTATTGATTGAATTTTAAATTATATACTTTTTCAACACAAGAAATACATCAAATTTTAATGTCATGGATATTGTGTAAAACATTTGAGTATTGTAAAGAAAAGCAAACAATACATAGAAATCAAATGTCATACAATAAAAAAAGAAATGTCAATAGCAATAAATAGCATAATAATAACAATGATATACCAAGGAAAAAGGATTAGAAGATGAAAGACACACAAAAAAAAACAAATAAAAACAAGATAAATACAATAATAATAATAAAGATTACACCAATAACAAATATAAATGATTAACAATAAATGATATACAAGAAAGAATAAAAATAATAACAAGTGAATGGAATAAAAAAGAATAATCAGAAATACTCAAAAAGTAAGAAAGTCAAAGAAAAAGATGGTATGACATTATTCAAGAAGTATATTCAATCAAAAAGAAAAAGATAAATGAAAAAATGCAAGAAGAAGTTAAAGAAAGATAATTAAGTGTTAATAGAATTGTCATTTATTCTTCATTATTTAGTAAATATTAATCAAATCAAACAAAAGTAACAAAGAATATTTTCTTTCTTTTACATATTCCTTTTGTTTTCTTCTTGTTTTCTGAATAAATCATTTCAAATTTCATTCAATTGATGTCTTCTTTTTATCTTCTTCTTCTTTAGTTTTTATTTTAATTTTAAATAACATCACTTTTCTTTATTTGTATTTTATCAATTGAATCAAATGAATATGTTATTACAATGAATATCATTAAATATTATTCAATTTTCAACATTATAAATATAATGAATGAAATGAATAATGATATTATTTGTAATAATAGAAAGACATTAAAATCATGATTAATTCATCAATTATTTAATTCACATTTTGTTTATTTGTCATAAATAATTTTCAATATATTATAATGAAGATTTATAAAATAAATCAAATTATAAAAGAAGAAATGAAACAATAAAAATGATAATAATAAATAGAAATTAAATAACAAATGATAATAAAATAAATATCAAAGAGGAAATTCTTCATTGAAATTTTATATGAAATAAATTAAATTAACATCACATTAATATTTGTTTATTTCATCACCACAATATCATTAAACATTTCATAAATTAGAATATGTAATAATAGAATATAAATGATGTTTATAACAATTAAACATCACTCAGAATAATGTTAAATTCATTTATGAGTCATTTAAATGTAAAAAATCAAAAAGTAATGTAAAAGAAGAATATAAAGATAAAAATAAAACGAATATAAAAAGAAAAAGAAAGAGAAAAGAAACAATGTCAGTTTGCTCAGGGTGTAAAACACAATGTATGTTCTGTGGATCAGAATTGAAGAGTGGATCAGTTGTACATCTTTGTCATTCATGTAGAAAAGGAGGATCGAAATGTATGATTTGTGGAAAAACACTTGGAAGTGCAACACCAGCAAAAGCATGTGGAAAATGTTACAGTAAATTACGTAAACCAAACACATGTATGAAGTGTGGATGCCGAACTAATTAATTAATTGAATCAATTAAATGAAAACTAAAGAAATAAAAGTTATAATGAACAATCAATAACAATCAATTTTCTTATTAAACATTTTTATTATAAACTAAAACAAAACAAATACTTCAAATGAATATTTAATATAAATATTTAATACTGAAAATGAAATAAATACAATAAAATAAGAGAATATGAATAATTAATTGTGAAAAATAAATCAATAAATCAATGATAATATCCAATATCATTAAATAATAATTAAATAACTAACAATTATTCATATAATTTCATCAATAAATAATAAAATATGATAATAAACATTAAATGAAATATGAAGATAAAGAGAATAAATATAAATAACAACAAGAAGATAAAATCATATAAATACAATCATAAAAAATAACAAATTAATAATAAAATAAGAAAGGAAATAAAGTGAATAAAGAAATAAAAAATAAAACAACAAATAATAACTATTCAATCGTTATCTAATTTATAATAATGATGAAATTTATTATAATCATTTATTATTAAATTAATTAATATCAACCATTTCATTCATTGGCAGATGAATGAAATGTTCATATTCTTCATTGATTTGTTTTTATTCTTTTTTAGTTCATTTTCAATTATTCAAGATTGAATCATTTCATTTCAATTACTATGATTCGTTTTGGTGTGAAATGTTCTTTTCCACAAAGTGCATTTTCAATTCCTTTATATTCAAATGCATTTTGATCACAATATGATTCTGTTTTATCACTTTCTTTATGAACAAGAATATCACCAAATCCATATCCAAATGAAAATAAACAATTATGTGATTGATTATATAATTTAAATGCATGTTGTGGTCGTTTAATATCAAATTTCTTCATTCTTTCTATTCTTCCATTTGATTCTAATGAAAATACAAACAAATGTAAATCATATATCCAACTATCAACTTTATCAATTTTAGAATTAACATATCCTCCAAATTTATTTCCTTCTTCATCTTCAATAATAATTATTATATGTTCTTTATTTATTATTCTTTGATGAAATATTGATGTAAATATATTCCAATTATCAATATCTGAATCAAATAATATATTATTTATTCTTTTTTTCTGTCAATTCTTCTATTTGGTGAATTTCTTCTTCTTGTCTTTTTCTCTCTTTTTCTTCCTCTTCTTTTCTCTTTTTCCTTTCTAAATAATCACTGTAATACGTTTGCCATTCTTCTTTCTTCTTATTAAATTCTGATGTGATTTTATCTGTTTCTTCTGGTGTTTTTAATATTTTGTTTTTCATATTCATTTCTTCAATTGAAATGATTTTATCTATTAATTCATTTCTTGCTTTGCCTAGTGTTGCTTCATCATTATTATATTCTTTTATGATTCTTGACATTTTATTCTTCATTATTTCTATTTGTTGATTGTTTCTTGACTTTTTTCTATCACTAGTTTTCTTCTTCTTTCGGTTTCATCAATCCTATCAAATATTCCTTCTCCTCTTTTAATTGCTTCTGAGTATGTTTCATCTAGTTTTATTTCAAATACTTCATTTTTAATACTTTCTATATAATATTGATATTTCTTAGTAGTATCATCAATTGATTGTTGAATATTTGGAAGTGTTTCTACTACTTCTTTAATTAATTGGTTATTAAACAATGCTTCCATTTTAATTTAATTTGATATTTATAAGTTCAAAATATGAATGTTTAAATATTTAATACACGTTATTAACATCATCATGTCAGGTATTTTTATCATCATTCTATTTTAAATAAATGTTATTTTTATCATTTTTACAATAACAATAAATATATAATAATATTAATAATATAATAATAATAAAATTATAATATTGTTATTTTCTATAATTAGCTTATTTTATTTTTAACAATTTTTCATTTTTTTAAAAAATAACAAAAAAAAAATAGAAAAGAAGAAAATTCAATTCTGTTTTATTTTTATTATTTCATCTTTTGTGATTTGAATTTTCATGTTTTAACAACATTATTTCTAACAATTAAATTAATAACGATAATAAATGATAAACAAAAATTAAATAAAATGATAAGAATAAGAAAGAAAAGAGAAAAGAAATGATATAATTATTATAAATACATAATAAAAGAAATCAAAATAAGAATCAAATGAAATGAAAATCAAATAACATAATAGAAGAAATAATCAATATTGTTAATATTTCTTTTTGTTTATTGAAGATGAAATAATAAATAATTTAATCATATTTCATTCTTTTATT